ACCTCTGAGAATTTGGACTCTGAATACTAGCCTAGTATTGTTGCACTCCAGTTGTTCAAACACACATGCATCTCCAACTTTCAAATTGTTGTCAATGGCAAATGCTCTCCAGTTATCAAGCCTTTTATGACTGGATGATCAATGATATATCATCTCTCAATTATTGCCCGAAAATGTGAGAATCATAAGGGTTGAACAGGAAGGTAGTGTTGCATTAAGTTTGCCTGGGACCACCTGCTCAAACACATGATTATTTCAACGAATTATACTTATTAAAGCGAAGAAAATGATAACCCAAATTAGAGAATTAGAAATGCACAACATTATTTCCTATAATTGCAAAGAAAAAGAAAATTTAAGGAATAGCCAGATTATTTTTTGCTTCAACAAGGCAACCTTTTATTTAAAACTAAGAAGTATGTGTAAATTGCCAAATAGATTATTTGATTTATGTAATCAAAATTGGCAACTATGATCATGTAGACTGGCACAAATATTTAAGAAGTAGACATAAGAGGAAGTCTCACCACCATTTAAACATGCAAAATTATGGGATAATTTACCAGTTGGTACAGGGGTTTGATAGTTGTTTTGTGAGAACCACATCAACAAAGGGTTTCCCAAAAAGTGGCCAAAATTCATCCCATTCCAGTTCAATCACAGGATTTGATATGGCCCGATCTCCTATTTGAGGTTCTCCCATTTCAGCAACTCGAAACTAACAAAGAAATTATCTACAAAAATAATCATAATACTGATGAAAAGATACCCAACAGTACAAACAAAACACAATTTCTAATTTGTAATGGCTGGTCTGATATCTGTAGTTATAAAATTGTGCTCTCTAATCATTACCAATTTCTAATTCTCCACCCTTCTTGTTTATTTTGTTTTTAGCATAAGTGATATAGGAAATGTAGGATTCGAACATAGCTTTGACTACCAGAAGGCAAATTCACGACTTCATTTCCATTCGGATAGATGTTTCTTTGAGAGCAATTACGTTTTGTGTGTCTGTTTTTGCAACACAACATGCGTTGTGGTACTTGCGTGTTCCACTAGCTTGTCTTTGGGTGTCTTTTGTGCTAACTAGGGTTGGATCTTTCATAATATTTGTAGGAAATTGCCAACGACTACCCAATTTAAGCCTCATCTCATATTCTTTCTGTCATAAACCTTCAACTATTCCCTCCAATTGAATGAGTTCATTCTTCAAAATCTCATACCCATTTCTACTATTTGATGCATACAAACACATTTTGTTAGTCATACAACTTAAACTTCCATATCTTGCAGTTTCTACAACCTTCTTGCTACCACTTTGTGACATAAATGCGTATCTAATGTCCATTCAGGCACTCTTTGTCCATCGCTTCATTATGAGTGACGAGGGAGTTTCCATAACATGCTCCCACTTCATCCCATAATACAAGTGGAAACATGGAATGCCTTCACTTTTATATTTGACGCACTCTATTCGAACATCTTCCCTACCAAGGCATACACAACTCCAATTACTTTGTGGTTCTCCGTATTTGGGTAAAATATACAACTGTCCTCCAAAATTATTAATGTTTTTTTTTTCATGAATAAGCCCTGACTAAGCATTGATCTCATTATGTACCAATAAAAAGAACCTATGAGTGTAAATTTGGGAACCATATTGCTCAAGAATTTTCAATGTTGTTGTAAGCACTTCCTTTTACTGTTTTGGCTTGAAATCTTCATTCGCCATAGTATTCCTTATATGTGTCATGGCCCTATGTATTGTCGAAATGCATTTAAACAACTTAACGCATTTCCTCAAGTAATCTTTCTTAAACTTGTTCATACACTCCATGTGTTGCACATACCACCGAAAAACTTGGGCCTAAGGCGTGATTTCGCATACACATCTCATTTTACATACATCATTTCTAGCGATTCCTTTTGTTAGTGTGTAGTAACTTTTTCCTTCAAAAACTCTCATTTATTTTCAAACTCATTGAGTGCAATTGGTTCCTAAAGACATGTTTTAAATGCTCATACAAATTCTTCATCCTTTAAGTTATTTTATGCATTCTTTTCCATGTGTCATGCGCACAACCTATGATTGCACATGGAAACACATACTTAATTACTTTGCGCCTCACCTCTTTTCCATTTGTAAGTATTGATATAGACTTTTTATCTTTCATGGAGGATATGAATGTTTCTAACAACCACTTGTATGTTTCAAAGGTCTCGTCAAGTAATAAGGCACAAACAAATTTTACACTCGCTCGGTGGTTGTTCGAACCAACAAACACTACTAGAGGCTTGTCGTACATATTAGTTTGTATGTGCTCTTGAATATGAGGACGTCTCCAAAGGCAACATAATCTAAAGTGAAGTAGAGTCTCTCCAAAATAAGTTAGCAAACCTATTTTCTTCATCCATACTGAACTTACAAAAAAGTTCAAGATCCACTGACCCTTTCACTTTCATGTAGACGAGTGCAACGTCAGTTTCACTGTCCAACAAGATTTTCCTATGTAATGCATCCAACTTATTACATAAATCCTTGATTTGGAAGCCCACGTTCAAATACAACACTAATTGGTCTACCATGTACTCATTAATATGACATGTCATCACCAAAACTTTACGGATTGCCATCGCTTAGGCTAAATTCGCCTTCGCAACATCCCGTTTCGATCGGAGATAAGGTGATTCACATGGCATCATTAATTCGTTTATGTGATTTGGTTCAAAGTTTTTTATGATGTAAACCTCACGTTTCTTGTCATAATTCATTACAAAAAAAGACGAACAATTCTCTCTTATCAACCGCCTAGGTGATCGCACCTTATTCAATAGGTCATTTCTCTCACACATGCCTTTGAGCAACACCACCGTCTCCTTGTTAATTTTCCTTCATTATTATAAATCAATGTGTCTTTCCTTACACTAAATCCAATAGCCTTTGCATAACTTAAGTAAAATTCCTTTGCTAACTCTAACGTTTTAAACTCCAACCCCTATAACATCTTCTTTCCTCAAATGCTTCTAATTAAGCCCATTATACTGTCTACTTTGACCCATCGATTATTCGGTTGACATTTTCTCACTGTTCACTACTTGTGCTTCGTGACTTGATACTTCACAACCACCAAGATATCTTTCGTCAGTGGAAGCAATATTTGATGCCTCTAAGGCCCTCACCGTCTCACTAGTGCATTCTATACCAACTACAATTATACAATATGTCCTAACATATACATAATGTAAAGAAGCAATTTCATAGCGTTATCGGGTGTACAATGAAACCATGCAATTTCATAACTTATAACACGATATGCTTACAATTCTTACCTCTCACTTCCGAATGGTTCAACGCCTTCATCCTTTGAACTCAGTACATCGTCGCTTCTACCCTAGACAAACATTCAGAAAATGTCCGGACTTGAAAGCGGTTGAATGACTCCACTCATGCATGTCAATTGCTAACCTTATATTTGTCTATTTGTGTGTTTATGGATACATCGAAGTACTTATGTGTGTGAAGGCACGTGCCTTGAGCAAGTATCTAAATAGAGGTGAATTGATTTGGCATCTAATATTGTTGCACACATTACATGCTTATTTTATGCTTCTAAACTTTAATTTTAGCTTTTTGATTTATGTATATTTCCTCTTGGCAGGCCAATGTGATTCGCAAAACCACTGTACTTAATGTTATGAGAAGACTTCTGCATGTAAGAAACTTTGATTACCTTCTTTTATCTTCGACAAAGCAAAATTAAACAATTCCCTGATATTATTCTCATTTTGCAAACAAAAAATATTATGGTTTCCTCATATGCTAGAACAAAAGAAGCTAGTCGAGCGAAGTACATCTCAATAATAAACATCATTCAAGGAGAAGTTGACCCTACTCAGGTTGTAACAATAATAGTATTGTAACTTGCATTACAATCGGTAGATGCTTAAGTAAGTACGGATTTAGTAAGTTTTTAATTGCAGATCAATAGGCAGTATGCCGTTAGTTCTGATTGATTACCTTCAGGCTGGGATAGGTGTCCTCTTTTATAGGCCTTGGGAGGTGTGCAATTTGTTTAGAGTTTCGATGTGGGACTCTGGGCGTCAATCGTGGAGCTGCCACATGCCAGAGTGGGCAAGGTTGCCCTAATGTTGTGATCGGTAGGTTTGGTACCGAAGGAGAGTGCCGAAGGCACACGTAGCCCTGGCCTAGTCCACGTGGTTGATGTTCATTGGGTGTTCATTTTGGTATAAACAGGAGTCCCCCAAGTCCCCTTGCGAATGTCTTCGGAAGGGGATTTGAATTCGTCCTCGGGAGGAAACACGGCCTTACCGTTCGGTAACCCCACTGGGGGAGGGGCAAAACCTTGTTCCTTCCGGCATGACCAGCTCAAAGGCTGACGTTGGTGAAGTCAGAAGGTCGCGTGGATCTGACGGGCGAAGAGACGTCTGCGCGCCTCGACTCCCGTGCCTCGCGTGCCGTCAGTTCTCCATTGGGTGGGTGACACGTGGCGAAAGTAATGATGGCGCGCGGCGCATTAATGCGCCGTTTGGTTTTTCGAGGAGTGCCGTTGCCAGCCATTTCCCCTATAAATAGAGATGACCCCGGAGGCGCACTCACTTTGCATCTAGTGAGAATTGAGAGCTCTGTCTGAGGCGATTCCCGACGAGAGCTTTCGGTAGACAGGCGATTTCCGGTGAGTGTTATCGGTAGCAAGGCGATTTCCGGCGTTTCGAACGGTAGGAGAGGCGATTCCCGGTGTTGTGGACGGCAGTGAAGCATCCTGAAGAGCAGATCGTGCCCATCTTCCCAAGCACACCTTAAGGTACCGTTCGGCACCCTTCTCTTTACATGTTATTAGGGTTACGTCCTTTCTTGGTTCGAACTAGACTGACCATAGGGTTCCATTCGGTAGTCTAGTCGCCATAGGTAGCGATGCAGGAATCGGTAGGTTAGCATCCATCATGAGCCTTAGTTTCCCTTCTTCCTGTTTTTGTAGATGTCTGATAGCGAGTCATATTCCGAGCGCGAGCCCAACGCGTTCGACGAGGAGTCATCGGACGGTCTCTTTGACTCCGACGTTGAAGCGGCAGGGCCTGATGCCGAGGGCGGGAGTGATACCGACATCGAGATACTCGGCGAAGGGCCCAGCGTCATTCCAACACACGGAGTCGGGAAGGGGCTAATGACCGCTCCCGTCCCATTGTCCATTGTCTATAGTGACGGCCGCCACGTGGGCCTCGGTATGCCCGGGGAGGCGAGCGGTAGCCGTCAATCGGAACCCTCCACTTCTGGGCGTGGAGAGTCGGTAGCCAGGCCGCCATCTGGACCCAGGGTATCGGTGGTGTACCCAAGCAACCCTAGGGTGCCCATGGGGGTGCCGAAGGAAAACCTATTCGGCGTGGACTATCTTGGGCCGAACAAGATTACCGATCGGGAGATTACCAAGCTTCGAGTAGAGTACCGCATTCCTGACTCGGTACGGATGAGGATCCCGGGCCCTACCGAATCCCTTAGCGCGCCGAAGGACGGCGAAGTAGTTTTCTTTACCGACGTCCTTGTGCAAGGCGTTCGGTTGCCGTTGCAGCCGGCGGTGCAGAGGATCCTAGCCCAGATCGGCTATGCCCCGGGGCAATTCAACCCCAACTTCTGGGTGGCTCTCATGGGAGTCATAACGGCCTTCGGTATGGCTGGCGAAGGGAGCCCCTCCTACGAGCAGTTCTCCCATCTGTACAGCGTCACCAAGTCCAAGTGTGCCGATCATGGCGGATGGGTGTAGGCGAACTGCCTCAGGGCTGCCGATCGAGGCCATTTCGTTAGCTGGGTACCGACTTCACAGAAGTCGTGGAGGAATCGGCGGGTGCTCCTCTCGGGCGACTGGGAGTCGCCTTCGGGACAGCCCGTCCGATTTCGCATTCCCACAACCTTCCAAATGGCCGGTAGGACCACGTGCCGTTCGGTACCTTACCTCAGCTATACGTTTTACCGTGAGTAACCCCTCTTTGCTCTTCTTTTTGTAGGTAAGCTGAAGCAGCCGATTGCAACTCAGGCCGAGATTCAGCAAGTGGAGAGGGTGAAGAGGAAAGTCCCTGCCGAGGAGAGGGTATATCCGCAGTTCCTCTTCACCACCAATCTGATCCGAGCCCAGCTGGTCGATCCTGCCGAGAGTGAGTATACTTGGTGTTATAAAAGTTGCTTCTTCTTTTCTGTTGCGGGTCTTACCGAACCCCTTTTTTTTTGCAGTGACGGAAGACAGGAGAGCTGCCGAAGCCAAGAGGATGAACGAGTCCTCCAAGCGCCGTCTCATGATGGGCTTCCAGGGGAAGAAGAAGAAGACCCAGCCGCAAGGCTCGGCGTCGGTGGACCAAGAGGACCAGACACTTGCCGATCGCCTCCGTGAGCTTAACGCCGAGTCGGCACACACCAGAGCGGCAGCTGCCGACCCTTCTCCCCGCCGAGGCGCCACTACCGAAGGGGCTTCCTCCCGAGCGGCCGGCAAACGGCCTTTTACTGTCGATCTAGATGCCGAACCGGCCCCAAAACGCGGGCGGCATGCCGAGCCAGCTCGGGCCATCTTCGCCGCCGAAAATGACGAGGAGCCTGCCGATCCCGTCACCCTTGCCTGTCCGTCGAAGACGGTCCAGTTCGCGAACCACATGATCATTGGTTCGCAAATGGAACTGAGCGAGATCGAGGAGCTGCCGAAGAGGCTCTTTCGGGAGGAGGCGGGTCGCGCCTTCCGTCTCCAAGCATCGGTAAGTCCAGAACACTCTCAGATCCAGGTTATCGATTATGTTCGAATCTTTTCTGACATACTCGTTGTTCTGCAGGCTTCGATGGACATGTGGCTTTGCATGAAGCGGGCCATCAATGCCTCTGAGAAGGCGAAGAAGGCCTACGAGGACGGCAGGGCCAGGGTTGCCGAGGCTGGCAAGGCTATCCAGGACCATGCGAACCTGGTGAAGGACTTACAAGCTGCCGAACGGCAGGTCAAGGTTTATGAGTCTAAGTTCGCGGACCTGTCGTCTGCCCTGGAATCGGCACGGCTGTCGGCAAAGGAGGCTCTGGAGGCGAAGGATGCCGTTGAGGTGGCTCTGGAGGAGTCGGAGCGTGCCAAAGCGTCAGAGATTGAAGCTGCCGTCCAGGAGGCCATTCGGAAGTATCGCCACTCTACCGAATTCTCTACCTTGCTCGACAAGGAGGTGGGCTCGGAGATGGTGGATCTCATCTACCGATTCAAGCGGTACAATCCTGGGACGAAGCTCAATCTGAACTTTGTTGCCGATCCTCCTCCCCTTCCTGAAGGCGTTACGGAAGAAATGATCGAAGAGTACGAGGGGGAAGATGCTCCGGAAGAGCCTGAAGCTGCTGATGCCGAAGGGGCCGATGCCGAAGGGGCGCCTTCCGAGGGTCCTTCTTCCTGATCGCTTGTCTTTAAGTAATTTTGATTTCCTGCACCTCTTGTAATTTTGTACTAACTCTGATGCCGTTGGCATCTCTTGTTTTGGATAATTAATGCCGTAGGCATTTTTTCAATTAAAGTTCATGTTTTTACTTTAAGATATTTGCATCTTACTTTTGAATCGGTGAGCTTATATAGGAAAAAATGTTTCTGTTTAATGCCGAAAGTTTTTAAACAAAGGTCACTTGCCGTTGGCCAGTGACTTTCTTTTTACGCAGGGGGTTCCGATTGCAAAGCAATGGCAAGTAATTGCCGAAGGATAATGGCGATGCCAACATGCGTAGTTAGCTGCGACCGATGGTCCCTACCGTACCCTTTTTTTTTTGAACGAAAAAAAATGGATAGATTTGAAAGATATAACAAAGGTGCCGAATATGTGTGCTGAAGGCCCTTTTTATTGATAAACCGCCGACGGCGAGATTACAATTACGAGCGCGTTTTACAATATAGAACCCGCCGTTGGCTTGGTAACGCTATAACCCGGAAGCTGTGTTTGTAGAGATGCCGAAGGCTTTTGTGACTCTGCCGCGACCCTGCCGTAGGCAAGGTGACTTCATTTGAAGTAGTACTTCAAATGCTCTATGTTCCAAGGGTGACCGAGGGTCTTTCCATTGGAGTCTCTGAGTCGGTAAGTCCCCGACCGCTGGATACCGATGATCTCGTAGGGTCCCTCCCAGGAAGGTCCGAGGGTTCCTTCCGTGGGATTCTTGGTTGCCAAGGAGACTTTCCGCATGACCCAATCTCCGACTCGGAAAGAGCGGGGCTTGACCCTGGAGTCATAGTACCGAGAGACGCGTTGTTTGTAGGCTTCGTTCCGAAGGTTGGCTTGTGCTCGGCGCTCTTCGAGTAAGTCGAGGCTCAGAGCTAGCGCTTCCTCATTTGTCTTTGGTGCGAAGGTTCCCGTTCGGTAGGAGGGCTCTCCGATCTCTACTGGGACTACTGCCTCTGAACCGAAAGCCATGGAGAATGGTGTTTCCCCGGTTGCCGTTCGGTAAGATGTCCGTATGGCCCATAGCGCCTCCGGAAGCTTTTCTGGCCATGCCCCTTTGGCTTTGTCAAGCTGCCGTTTCAACAGCTTCTTGACAATTTTGTTCATGGCTTCGACCTGTCCGTTCGATTGGGGGTGTGCTGGCGAAGCAAAGAACAGGTTGATCTTGAGTCGTTTGCAGAATTGCCGGAAGACTTCCGAATCAAACTGCCCGCCGTTATCCGTAACGATGGCGTAGGGGATGCCGAATCGGCAGCAAATGTTTGTCCAAACGAAATCCTCGATTCTGGCTGCCGTTGTCGTTGCTAGTTCTTTGGCTTCTACCCATTTGGTGAAGTAGTCTACGGCAACAACAGCGTATTTTACCTGACCCTTGCCCTCTGGCATCGGACCGATTAGATCCAGTCCCCATTGGGCGAACGGCCATGGGCTCACGATCGGTGACAGTGGCTCGGCGGGAATGTGAGGGACACTACCGAACCGTTGGCATTTGTCGCACTTCTTGACTAGTGTGTTGGCATCCTGATGCAGAGTCGGCCAGAAATAACCCTGCCAGAAGACCTTGTGTGCGAGCGATCGGGAACCAGAATGGTCCCCGCAGATTCCGCTGTGGACCTCCCGAAGGATGTAGTCCCCTTGTTCTTTGGTCAGGCACTTTAAGTACGGCGTCGTGTAGCCCCGTTTGTACAGAACATCGTTGATGACTGTGTATCTTGCCGATCGGTAGCGAAGTTTCCGAGCTTGCGACTTATCGGCAGGAAGGGTTCCGGCTGTCAGATAGGCGTAGATTGGAGACATCCAGGTCTCCTCGTACCGAACGGTACATACCTCAGCGGCGGTTGTACTTAGTTGGGATAGTATCTCCACCGGTACCTTCCTTCCGACCTTGTCATTTATTGCCGAGGCCAAACGTGAGAGTGCGTCGGCATGGCTATTTTCCGACCTGGGGATCTGCCGTATCTCATAGGCTTGGAATTTCTGTAGTAGCTGGTGGGCTGCCGACAGGTAAGCTGACATTGAGGCATCCTTTGCTGCGAAGTCTGCCGTTATCTGGTTTACTATGAGCTGGGAGTCGCTGTGAATACTGATCTGCCTCGCGCTCATGCTCTGGGCTAGCCGAAGGCCAGCCAAGAGGGCCTCATATTCTGCCTCGTTATTGGAGGTTCGGAAGCTGAATCGGAGGGCGTACTCGATCTTGCTACCGTCTGGAGTGGTTAACACTAGGCCGGCACCACAGCCTTGCTGGTTTGCCGAGCCGTCCACGTGCAGGACCCAGAGAGGAGTGGACGCGTCGAAACGTTCGGTATCCATTTTTCCTAGTTCGGCAGGTACAGCGCTCGGCGATGACGGTTCCGATAGAGCAGGGGGTGTGAGTTCGGAGATGAAATCGGCAACGGCTTGGCCTTTTTCTGCAGGCCTTGGCTTAAACTGTATGTCAAACTCTCCCAACTCGATTGCCCATTTGACCAATCGGCCAGATGTTTCCGGCTTTTGGAGCACCTGCCGAAGAGGTTGGTTCGTCAGAACCGTGATTTCGTGAGCCTGGAAGTAAGGGCGAAGTCTTCGCGCCGAGACGACCAGGGCCAGCGCTAGCTGTTCCAAGGGTGGGTACCGAAGCTCTGCGCTCTGGAGCGCCTTGCTGACATAAAAGATTGGTAGCTCCGCCTTCTCCGGCTTCCTTATCAACACCGAGTTGACGGCAGTGTTGGATACCGAAAGGTATAGAAGTAGTACCTCGCCTGGCAAGGGTTTCGATAACAGTGGTGCCTGGCTCATGTAGTTCTTCAAGTTTTGAAATGCCTGGTCGCATTCGGGAGTCCATGTTATATGATGTTTGCCCCCTTTCAAAGCTTTGAAGAACGGCACGCATTTATCGGTAGCCTTGGAGATGAAGCGTGTTAGGGCAGCGACACGCCCGGTAAGGCTCTGAATGTCCTTCTGCGTCTTCGGCGTCTCCATGTCGATTATGGCTTTTATTTTCTCGGGATTGGCCTCGATTCCCCTTTGACTGATCATGAACCCGAGAAATTTTCCGGAAGATACACCGAAGGCGCACTTCGCCGGGTTCAGCCGCATTCGGTAATCCTTTAGAATGCCGAACATGAGGGCCAAGTTTTCCAGGTGATCCCCTGCCGTTCGGCTCTTTACCAACATGTCGTCAACATAAACCTCCATGATGCAGCCGATGTATTTAGCGAAGATCCGGTTGACGAGCCGTTGGTAAGTTGCCCCCCGCGTTCTTCAGGCCGAAGGGCATGACGTTGTAACAGTACAAACCGCGATCCGTGATGAATGCCGTATGTTCTCGATCGGCAGGGTCCATGAAGATCTGGTTGTACCCTGAATACGCGTCCATGAAGCTGAGCAGCTCGTGCCCGGCGGTGGCATCGACGAGCTGGTCGATCCTCGGTAAGGGGAAACTGTCCTTCGGACAAGCCTTATTCAGGTCGGTATAATCCTGGCACATTCGCCATCCTCCCCTGGCTTTCCGAACCATGACTGAGTTGGCCAGCCAAACAGGGTACGTAGCTTCCCTGACAAAGCCGATGGCTTTGAGCTTGCCAACTTCGGCTCGCATTGCCTCATACCGTTCGGCATCGTACGATCGGCGCTTTTGCCTGACTGGTTTGTGGGCGGGGGAGATGCTGAGCTTGTGGCTGATGACGTCGGGTGATATGCCGGGCATGTCGTCATAAGACCAGGCGAAGACTTCCGCATGCCGCCGTAAGAAGTCGATGAACTGCCTTCGGAGGTCGGGTTCCAGATTGGTGCCGATCTTCACCCACCGGTCGGGGAAGTTCTCGTTCAGGATTATGGTCTCCAGTTCCTCGGCGGGCTGTGCCATTGGCGTTGGGTTTTCCTCCCGGGGGTCGTCAATGGGTTCGTTACCGTTCGGTAGTCCCTGCAAGGTCATGGCCTCCATTGGCGGTTTGCTGGCTACCGACTTAAGGGCCGTGGCATAGCACGTCCGTGCGCTGAGCTGATCGCCCCGGATGGCTCCGGTACCGTTGCGTGTTGGGAACTTCATCAGCAACATGTGTGTGGATAGGTGGGCTTTGATCCTGGTGAGGGCCGTTCGCCCTATGATGACGTTGTATGCCGTTGGGCAGTCAACAATGAGGAATTGGTCATAGGTCATGGTCCTCCGGGGGGCCATGCCGAAGGCAATGGGTAAACTGATGCTACCGACCGGTTGTACCAGATCCCCAGAGAAACTGAGGAGAGGCGTGATTTGCCGATTGACCATGCTATCCGCAATCCCCAGTCCCTTGAACGCATCGGCAAAGATCACGTTCACCGAGCTTCCGGTGTCAATCAGCACCCGACCCACGTCGTAATCGGCGATCTCAGCCCGAATGATCATTGGGTCGTCGTGGGGGTAGATGATCCCCTCCTCTTCTTCTTCACTGAATGTGATGGGCTCCCATCCCACTTTTGACAACTTTCGGCACCGATCCTCCGCTATGCCGAAGACCTGAGGGCAGTGCGCGGCGCGCACATACTGCTTTGCCCAGCGGTTGGAGGGTCCCGCCAGGGTGGGGCCGCCGCTGATCGTGTTGATCATGTTGATCTGCCGATTCGCATTCGGTGCCGGGGCCTGTGGCGGCCTGGCAAGGTACTGATCCAACTTCCCTTCCCGAATCAGGCGCTCGACAATTTTCCTTAGACTGATGCAGTCTTCGGTATTGTGGCTGTTCTGCTGGTGATATCGGCAGAATTTGCCAGTATCCCGATTATCCTGCCGATTGGGCTTCCGGTTGGTCGGCTTCGGGATCTGGTCGTGTTCGTTCATTAGAACGGTTTCATACGTCGTGTTCAGCAGGGTGAAGACTTCCTGAACACGATTGTGATTCGGTAGGGGTGCTCGGTGGTCGTTACGACCGTACTTCCCACGTCCCTTCTTCGAGTTTCCCTGACGGCCATCCCGGTCGTCCTTCCGTTTGTGCCTGCCGACGGGTCCTCAGTTCGGCCGGGATAACTTTTGTCTGCCGATTCCTCCTTCCGAGCCGAAGGCCCGGGTTTGGAGTTGAAATATTCGGCCTTCGCATGGACCGCCGCCTGCTTCATTAACTCGTCATACGTGCGCCAGTTGCTACTGTGCACGAGATATCGGAAGTGAGAGGACCGTAGGCCACTCTTGAAGGCGCCGTAGGCTGCCCTATCGTCCGTTTCCGGACACCTCGAGTACTCGTGACTGAAGCGCGCTGCGTATTCCCGTAGGGGTTCTTCCTCCCTTTGCCGAATCGTGTATAGATCATCGGCAGAGTACAACCGGTCCGTCTGGATCATGAAGTGGTTGAGGAAGATCTGCTTCAGTTCTTCAAAGGAGTGTACCGTCCCCGGCTCGAGGCGGTAGAACCAGTTCAGTGCAGCTCCGGTAAGGGACGAGGGGAACAGCAGGCATTGTCCCTCGTCGCTAAGGCCCTTACATCCAACTGCCGATTGGAAAGAGTGAAGGTGCGTCAGAGGGTCCTCCACACCGGTATAGAAGAGTATGCGCAACGGCTGCACCTCCCTGTCTGGTCTGGACCTCTTGATGCGCTCGGTAAAGGGTCCCGGCCGAAGTTTTCCCCAGTCAGGGACCTGGGATCGGGTTCGGTCCTCCTCCATCTTCTGGATTCTTTGAAAAAGTAATCGGATGGTGGGGTCTCGGCTGGGGACGTCCTCGGAACCAAAGTCCTCGGAAGCTTTCCTTGGACTTGGTGATCTCGCCTTTGAATACTCCGGGGGAGCTTCCGAACGGTAGCTCGATTCGGTGTCCCTGGTGGGGATGTACTCATCGTCGGATTCCTGCGCCGAATCCAAACCCTGAGCCCTCCGAAGGGGCGACTTGTCCCCCAAGACCCTCATCCGAGAGTCCCTCAAGTTGGCGTTTAGTCTGATTGGGGACCTATGCCGTTCGGCATCCTTCTTGTCGTTGATCCGATGACGACAGTCGGTGTATACCTTCTTCGGTACGTGCGGTTGGTCCTGGGGTGCCGGGACTACCAGCTGCTTGGAGGGCGCAGGCGTTGCCTTTGCCCCCTGTTTTCCCTTCCTCTGCCGACCGGGGGTCTGCTGACTCTGGGAAGATTCGGTGGTCCGAACGTTTTGCGTTTTCTGCTGATTAAGCAACCGTTGGGTTTCGTCCACTTTGGACGAGAGGAGGTTGTTACGTTCTTGGAGTTTAGCCATCTCCTTTCGGAGGGAGGTCATCTGAGCCAAAAGCTCTGCTTCGACCGTGGTCTGAAGCGCAGGTGGATTACCGAAGGGAGTGCTAGGGTGCAGCGCGGGGCTTGCTCCACTTGGCATACCGTACGGTAATCCATCCTCTGATAGGAACTGTTGTCCTGAAGTGGTTCCCATTTTTTTTTGTTTAGGAATTGTAGGTCGATTATATCGATTTCCCACAGACGGCGCCAAACTGTTGACGCAGAAAAATGGTTCTGCACTTTCCCGCGCAACTTAGTGATTAAGTCTCTTCGGTGTCTGATGTCCTCGGTAGAGTGTGCGATCTGTAAGATAGCAAACACACGGTAAATCCTAGGGCACCGGTGTGGTACCGGCCGAAGGCTCTCCGATGCTTAAGTAAGTACGGATTTAGTAAGTTTTTAATTGCAGATCAATAGGCAGTATGCCGTTAGTTCTGATTGATTACCTTCAGGCTGGGATAGGTGTCCTCTTTTATAGGCCTTGGGAGGTGTGCAATTTGTTTAGAGTTTCGATGTGGGACTCTGGGCGTCAATCGTGGAGCTGCCACGTGCCAGAGTGGGCAAGGTTGCCCTAATGTTGTGATCGGTAGGTTTGGTACCGAAGGAGAGTGCCGAAGGCACACGTAGCCCTGGCCTAGTCCACGTGGTTGATGTTCATTGGGTGTTCATTTTGGTATAAACAGAGGGAAAGATCTAGTTAGGGGCCAAGAGTTCAAGTACTGTATGCACAAGTAAGTTCCATGTCTTTAGGGATATTAATTTTTTTTTTGCTGTACTATTGAGTTGATGCAACATGATAATTAGAATTTTGAAGATAACGTAAGGGCCATAGTTGAAAAAATGTAGTTTTTACATTTGATTACTGGATTTTTGAAGGGGTCAATGGTAAAGATTGCTGAGAACATCAAATCACCAATTTTTATTTTTATTTCCTTGGAAAAAAGGACTTTTCTTTTTCTTTTCATTAGGAAAAGAGGTTGAGAACTGCCAACTGGTTCACTAAGAAGGTGAAAAATCAAGGCTCTTTTTCCTGAATGTAAGAATGTAGGCTTGGCTGCTCTTGTATCCTGTATATGAATATAGAAAACTTGAGATGATTGCGATACCTTAGCCAACAGTACAAAATTGATTTGGCTGATTGAAGTGTTTTACATTTTGCAGTTGAGTGTTGGGGCACTTTAGGGACTTAATTCTTTGTTGGGTTTTCATATTTGCTTGTGTTAACCCCCCTGTGGGCTAATTTGTCTAGTATAGACACTGAGGTTGTGTCGCGATGGGTTAAAGGTAGTAATAGTCAAGGGCAGTTGTTGGACCAGTCTAGGACCTCTTAAAAGACACAATTTCTGGTATTATACTGAAATATATCCTCAGAACTGTACTGACTAGCAAATAGTTGGCATTCATAAAGATCCCCTACATAACGGAGGTTGGCGAGCTGAGTATCGCACTATCATTTGACATCTGGGATAAATTCTTGAACCTTTCCCTTCCTTCTAAAATGTTATTACTATTTTCTCATTTTTAAATTCAGTGTTGGTGGTGCTCATCAAGGCCAGTCTCCCGTGGTTTGTGGCCCTTCAGGTTATACCAGCAGCCACCTTTCATATTTACTAGCACCAAATTTTATTATGAATCGGATCAAACCTGGCAAATGAGGAACATAATTTTTTTAGGGAGAAGACCGTTCTTTAATGGGAATTGAGGGATACGATGGTGGAATGGATTTTTGAGTGGATTAGATAGATCCTTTCTTTTGACACAAAAAAAAACAAAAAACAAAAAAGATAGATAGATCTCTTCTACTTTTTCCATGCAGATTGATTTTGTGCTATCCTTATTTCTTTTTTCTGTTTTTTTTCCTCTCATTCCTCAATGCTTGGTTATGCCCAATGTGATAAATTTCTTACTTAAAAATAAAAATAAAATAACTGATCTGGATGTTAGACATGTTACAAAGATTATTGTTATTTAGTGTGAGGATGTGAACCTTATTGTCACTTGGTAATAGTAGATAGTGATGTGGATCATGCCTATTTGGTCTACGCTCAATTCATATGATAAATTAGGTCTTTCTGGAAGTGGCTTTGAAAACTTGTTGAGGAATTCTTTGCTTTATGGCAGTGTTGTTAAAGTGTAACAAATTTACCATAGGTTGGGGATTAGATGTGCTGTGTTGGTTGCCATCCTTCCTTCTGTACTTACTAAGATGCTGAAGTTATATTGGCAGAGTATTTTCTCCTACTATTTAGATATTGCTACCCTGCTGCCTTTTGTGGTATATAGAGCCTTGAAGGAAGTTGTGATTTTTCTTTAAGTGAAAGTGTATATATAAGAAGTCAAATCAGATGACTAATCCTGCTCCTATAAAACATGTCTTTTGGAGCTTCTTTTAAAAAAAATACATGTCCTTGGAGCTAGAAGGTCCTTTGAATTATGCAACAAGTCATTTTTTCAGTCTACTTAAATGGATGCATTTAAGTTTATTATAGTTTCAAAAATTACATGCATGTGGGTGTGCTTGGCGATAATGGGATGAGCTGCATGTCCTGAGCATCCAAACTTAGCATAGGAATGGTTTTCCTGCAGATGTTTCAATCCTTACCAGCGCATTGCTTTGTCTCTGCCCATTTCTTTTAATTTTGTGCTTAGTTTGCCAGGCTGGTCGAGTAATTTTGTGTTGGTTTTTTGAGATTACTTGTATTGGTGTTGTAAAAGTTGTTGGTGTCTGCTGCAACCTTTTCTTTCTCACTTTTTGGTCATTTTTATCTTACAGTTTCTGATTCAAGCTAGAGACAGTTTACCTACATAAATAATCGCATCAAGGCATTGGCAAATTACTTGGGGTTGTTTTGTAACTCTTGATACATGTTTCCTTGCAGGTTATCTTTGGGAGAGAGCCTTGAGGGTATCAAGGGTTCATTTAATTATTAAATATCTGAGCTAAAAATGTTGCTTGTAAAGTAAGTTCGTATGAAGCCGTCCATTTCTCCAACTCTGGAAAAAGAAGGAAAAAACAGGATTGATAGTTACATTAATATGTTGGTTTCTTCAACTCTATTTTAAAAGGTGTGCTGTGTTTCTTCCTATATTTTGTTTGTGGGTGAAAGAATTAGCAGAAGATTGAAATTGTATCAATCTTACATTTCATTACTTTAGTCTCGTTAACGCATAACGAGCCAACAGCTAAGTCATCAGGGTAAGTCATTAGGATTAAGATAGATCAAGAGGTCAATGTCATCCCATCCTTAATTAGTGCAGCCAAGCCCCCCAGCATCTTCTACCAATAATAGGGTTGGATAAAATCAAGCTGCATGAAAAAGTATATATAACAATAAACAGCGAAGAAGAAAAAATATATAATTAAAGTAAAACTTTCCCTTTCCTATTATGAGAATGTTACAGGGGCCGTCAGCGACTTTCCTTTTCCTACTTGGACAAGGTGTTATGGGTAGGCTATAAAATCACCCTAAAGTCTCTCAACCTTTGCAACTCAAATCTCTCAACCAAAGCCAAAGAAGAAACTCTCTCCCAAGTTCTCAACTCAAAGTCTTAGTTAATATTACAAAGACCAAAACAATGGCCTCCGTTGAGATGAAGAAGATAACACTGAAGAGCGACGACGGTGAGATCTTTGAGGTGGAGGAGGCTGTGGCCATGCAGTCACAGACCATCAGGCACATGGTGGAGGACGACTGCGCCGATGGCCCAATACCTCTGCCGAACGTGACCAGCAACATCTTAGCGAAGGTGATCGAGTACTGCAAGAAGAAACATGAAGAGGATGCCGATGGCGAGAAGAACAAAGAGGACATTAAGAACTGGGATGCTGCGTTCGTGAAGGTGGACCAGAGTACTTTGTTTGACTTAATCTTGGCTGCAAACTATCTCAATATTAAGAGCCTGCTGGATTTGACCTGCCAGACTGTGGCGGACATGATCAAGGGAAAGACACCTGAAGAGATCCGTGAGATCTTCAACATCAAGAATGACTTCACGCCTGAGGAAGAACAAGAGATTCGTAATGAGAACGGATGGGCATTCGAGTGAGAGAGTTAAAGATCCCCTAGATACCTGTTATTATTACATAATTTGACTTTTTGTCTATTGTTTTTTTTTAATAAATTTTTTTGTTAGGTGATTGCTCAGATGTAACCAAGATTTCTGCAAAACCTTGTTTGTCAAATATTTCTAATGAGAGTTATGTCTCCTGTTTTGTTTGTTACGAAACTTCTTTGTTGTCAATAAATTCTTAATAAATTACATCTCTTGGAAATTAGTCATAGAATAACTAAACTGATGAACTCACACAAAATCATTTTCATTCATACTAGGGCCATTCCATTAATTTTACATTCAACATTTTATATATATGGGCAATGGGAATTGAATTCACAAGACAAGTCTTGCTTTTGGGGATTTTGGTTATTTTGAGGATCTTAATTAACCAATTATGTCACGTAAAAGATTAATGAATAGAATTAATCAATTATGTTAAGAACTTAATGACTTTTCTAATTGGTTCTTCCCAAGTTTGCAAATTGGCCAAGTTACTCTATGGATTGCAATAGAGTTTAACTCAAAATAAGAAATTGAGATTTGTTTTGTTTTTAAAGCTGGAAATTTACCTCTCCATATTGAAATTTTTGGATGGCGAATGAATTCAATACACAAATAATAATTCAGGAGCTCAAGACAAACCAATCATTGTTTTAGTCATTCACAACACTTGAATTAATGTAGTGCATCAAGTACTGTTTTCCACATGCAGACATAAAATCTAATGTCATCAACATGCTTACATGTTTTCACCACACAATTGTTTACATCTTGAAATGGACAGATGAGTACATGACAAATCTATTTAACTTCTCCATTTGATGGTCTCTATGCGTCAGTGAAATGGACAGATGGTTTTGAAGAACATTTTGACTAGATGGTGAAAATGGACAAGAGGAGATTCGTAAGGATAACCAATAGACATTTGAGGGATTTATTAAAATTAATATGTTGGATATCGTATAGTTAGGTGATTGTTTAGTTAGGTATAACCAAGATTTCTGCAAACCTCTCTTTTGTTAAATATGAAAAGAGTTTGTTTGTTAAAAATAATACAAATAAAAGTTTACGTATACAAGAGTTATGTCTCCCTTTTTGTGTGTTAATTCGAATCTTCTTTGTTTTTGATAAATTCTCATTACATCCTTAAACTTCTCAAAAATGAACTCGCACGAAATAATTCACATTCATATAAAATTTAATAATTTTTTGCAATAGTACATTGCCCAATTCGCATTTTGGTCGTTGAATTCAAAAAATAGCTCAGATCCAGTTTTGTTAGCACCGTTGATCCTACCACTAGATGTCCCAGCTAAGGGTAAGTACCGAAGCACTCTTAGTGAGACTTCATAATATTAGCCTCGTCATTATGCTAGTACATGACTGAATTTCTTATGCTCGGCCAACCTCTCGACCAAAATTCAAGCATATTAATGTAAGTATTAATTACTTACAAGAATTCCTCAAACAAGTTTTCAAAGCCAATAAAGACCTAATTTTATAATCTGAATTGAGTATAGACCAAATTCCATGATCCAGATCACTATCTACAATTTCCAAAATGGCGATAAGGTTCATCTCCTGAGTCCTCATATTAAATAAGAATAATATCTGTAACATGTCCAATTTCCAGATCAGTTATTTTTAAGTAAGAAATTTATCCCAACACTTTCATTGGTCGTAACCAATGCAGGAATTAAAAAAAAAGGACATAAGGTTTACACAAAATCAATCTGTGTGGAAAATTTAGAAAGGATCTATCCAAACCACTCAAAAATATATTGCACTAATGTGTCCTTCAATTCCCATTCATCTCCCTCAAAAGCTGTCTTACTCATTTGTCAGATTTGATCTTATAGTCGTAATAAAATTTTGTGGTATTAGATACGAAAGGTGGCCGATGGCATAATCTGAAAGACCTCATGATACTACCTACAAGCCTTTTGGGTTAGTTGCAGATAACGAAACAAGTTTTGTAGAAGATAAACATAGCTTTTGGTTCAACACATATGGTGGCTGGGAGGAAAACTTAAACATAAACATAGTTGAAAAGAAAGAGAACATGTAGAAGAGAGCATGCTTACTGCCCTTGTTAGTATTTCTCGGAATTTCAAAGAGAAGAGAAACTGAGATTGAGGTTGGGACTTGTTGTGCTGCTCGTTTGTGGAGTATAAAATGTTTAAAGTGAAATTAGGGCTCGTCTTTCTCTCTGAAGTTGTGCTTCAGCCGCCATTCTCACCATCTTTCGCAACACCTCAATCTCGTTGTGTATGCTACTAAATGAGTATTTGGCTAAACAAGATGCGGCTTGAGGCGATTTTAAGTCGATGCGTTCAACGCTTTTTTAAACATTGATCACAACAGAACCTAAGTATCTACTAGATGAATTGGCCCACAAGGCTAGTTAAGACAAGCAAATACGAAAAACTCAACCAAGAATTAAGTCCCTAAAGTACCTCAACACTCAACTGTAAAATGTAGAACAAAATAAACTTTTTCCTTCAATCAGCCAAATTAATGTCGGCTAAAGGTATCGCAATAATGTTGAAGTTTTTCTATATTCATATACAGGATGCAAGAGCTTGACTACATTCTTACATTCAGCAACAAGGACTTGACTTTTCACCTGCTTAGTGAACCAGAAAAAGGTCCTTTTCCAAGTAAATAAAAAACTTGGTGATTTGATGTTCTCAGCAATCTTTACCATTGACCCCTTTTAAAAAAAATCCGGCAATCAAATGTGTAAAACCTACATTTTTTAATCATATAGCAACAAAAAAAAATTATATCCTTAAAGACAGTACTTGAAAAAACTAGCATTAAATATTGAAAAATTATGTTGAGAAATTGATGTGATCCTTGTACATTCACTAATTAATATTTGCTATTATTAATAACGGATTTCAAAATCCCTACAAATTTTCATGTTGAAATCCACTCATTTCCCTGAATAAAATTCTGCACAGAATATGCATTAACATGCTCAGATGGGATCTTGCTACTAAAGGGCACTCTCTTGGAAAAATCAGAACCAGCTCCAGAATTACCAAACTCCCCATAGAAAAGGGTGCTCAAAGCAAAATCCTCACTCCAAGTCATCCACCCATCTGGGGAAAGAAGAGCTTCCATGGTACAGTTTATAAAAACTGTCCTTGAATACTCCTTCCATGGCCTCCCCAAGTAGCTCTTGTGCACTTCGGGGTTGTTTTGATACAGCTTCAGGAACTCTTCTGTGCCGTTGATCAAGCAGTTCTGAAATACGAAACCAGTTGATTGTGCAGGGTCTGTTCTGCCGTGAGCTGTGACGGTGCTACTTTCTCCGTTCTCGGGGTTTAGTTGTCGAGGGCGGATGAGGATGTTGCAGTCTTGGAAAACCGCAGCTGAGTTTCCGAAGATGAAATCAACGTTGCCTTGGATGTTGCATGACTTGTAGAACTGGCGGTTGCCGTGTGCGTAGAGAGTGTCCTGGTTGCCTAAGATTTCACAGTTCTCAATCACAGAGAGATCACTGTCTGATCTGAAGGCTACTGCTTGGTGGACATCAGGGCCTGCTGTGTTCTGGATTGTGAGACCACTGGCCATGAACCCATCTCCAAGAACACCTGGAAAATAATAAGAAACAATCAGAACCTTTACTTTCAAAGCATAATAAAAACTTGTAATAAATAAAAATAAAAAGTTATGCAAATAACCTACCGACAGTGGCAGAATTGTACGTGGAGATTCCTGGCATGCCCACATTCAACGACCCGGTAATTACCGTTTTGCCAATCCCGTCACCCAAAAACACCACGTTCCGCTTCTTTAAGGGCACCCTCACGATCTCGTTGTACACCCCAGCCTTTATGCGAATCACGAACTTCTTCTCTCCCGCATTATCCGGTGCGGCGTTCACCGCCCTCTGCACCGTCCTGTAGCATTTCTTCGTCTTCTCCTTGCACACTGTCACGTCCGCTGTTAAATTCGATGGCACTCCTCCCCGAACCTCCTGGCCGGACCCTCTGCCCTCGACCCGCTCCCAGAACCCGTCGCGCTCTGTCTTGGGCGGGGCCCACAACTTGGTGTCGTTTCCGAAGTTGTAGTACGAGAACATCATGCTGAGGGCGTTGCTGGACTTTCCCACCAGCGAGTCGAGAAACGACATCGTCTCGTTGATCATCTGGGTGTCGTTGGCGTACTTGAGACCCGACCAGCAGCCGTATTGGTAGAGCAGCGCGGCACTCATCGAGGCACGTGTGTTTTTAATGCTTCCACGTGACAGGTTGTCGGTGGCTAGCGAAATGCGGTACTGGGAGTTCACGAGGTCGTCGAGGCAATTGTTAGCGGCGGTGGTGCGGTTTTGGTTGCCTGCGGACGAGTCTAGAATAGCCTTCACCATCTTCTGCGCCGTGTGGAGGCCATCGGTGGAGACCTTGATAGAGGATTGGATGGCTTGGATTGGGGTGGTGTTTGGGTCAGTGACGAGCCCGGCTAAGGAGGCCTGACAAGTGTCGGGAAATCGCGTGGCTTTGCAGACTTGCTGGATCAGAGGGATAGGGGCTGTGACGTGCATGCGGGGTTGAAGATTGCGGGCGGCGGAGGAGAGAGAGAGGAAGAGAGTGAGGGAGAGGAAAGGGAGGAAGAGGAAGGAGGCCATGGGGATGAGCAAGAGGAACTTGGGTTTGGGAGAGTTTTTTTTTCGCTTTGGAAGTTGGAGGGTTTGAGTGATTTGAGTTGCAAAGGTTGAGAGACTTTGGATTTGATTTTATAGCCTATAATGCTACCACCTTGTCGATGCAGGAAATGGAGTTAGGAAATCTCGTCATGCTAGGAAAAGAAAGTTGGCTGATGGCCTCTCTAACAAAGAGGAAAGGGAAAGTTTCCTTTTCCTTTTTCATGCAGGTAGCTTGGTTGGGATGGGAAAACCCTCATGACATTGACAACCATTGGTCAAACATAAAGAATATAGAAGGCTGTGCGAATAATTCCGTTGACTCAATAAGGGAAAGACGTAAACTACAATCAATTATGGATATCAATGACGTCAAGTGGGTGAGGCTTTTCAATCCATCGCAACAATATATCTCCAAACATAACGAATATAGAAGGCTGCTGAGCGCTGACCCACAATATTAAATTAAAGTCCCACCAAATTTCTTTTGCTAATAAAATCGAAGGTTCGCATTGTTCATCGTTTCCTTGATCGATTGATTGCTATGATTTCGTCGGTAAAGACAAGAAATTTGATGAAATTTCCGTATAGGATATTGGTTGATCAATCGCTTTCCAAATAAAAGACTTGAATTGTTAATTCTTCTTTAGGGCATAGGCTTGGATGCTTGAATAGTTGATTTTACTTTAATCAGTTCTGTAGTTTCAAAATTCTATTACCATTTGGATTTTGCAAACCACATTGTTTGTGAAGGTGGGATATATTTATATGAGCTTGTGATGATCCCCAAAGTCACCATCCTCCTATGTTGAGGCCTTGAGATTTTCGGGTTAATCTTATTCTTATTGGTGAAGATTGGTCTTTTGTGCTTCCTTTAGTCCTATAATTAATCGGTAATTTACTTATTTTAGCAGTTTTTAATTTTTAATTTTTTAATTTTTTAATTTTGGCTTTAACCTTACAGTTTTACAACATAATTTAAATAAAACCTATTAGGTAAGAATAAAGTCGGACCAGAAACACAATCAATTATGGATTCAATTATGTAAGAAGAGTTGACTTCCCTTATAAGGTTGAGGTTTCCAGTCTCTTACTTAGCCTTAGCTTCTTCTCTTTTCCTTTTTTTTTTTTTTTTTTTTTTTTTTTTTTTTTTTTGTTGTTGTTTGTTTGTTGTCGTTCGTTGTTGTTTGTTGTTTTTGTTGATTTTTCCTATTGTGAGGGACGATAATATACACATTCTACACGGATGCTTAGACTCAAAATCGCTACACTAGTGAGTCATTTGCAAAATCTTGTTCTTTTGATCACTTGTTCCTTATGTTAATTGATTGTTAATAATAATAGTGTGGCAACTTTTAAAATGTCCATCTAATTGTGGGTGTATTCAATTAGGACTTGGAAAAAGTCCAAATAAATTTACCTGTATTAAAAAGGAGATAGATTTGGAAGGATTTAATTAAGTGTTGGAGTTTGGAGAATTTGTAGGGTTTAAGTATAAATAATAAAGGCCAACAGAAGTCCAACCTCCACCCCAAAGATTTCAAACGATATGTTTTTTTTTTCTCTCTATGGTATAAAATTTTCCATCGTTTGGCAAACAATGCACTAAGCCATGCACTGGCCTTGGGTGGTTACAAGCATCCTGTATTAAGCAAAGCTCCTCCATTAGTGATTTCTTCAAATCAACCAGTTGGAGTTGCTGGGAGGAAAACTCGGCTAGGGATTTCTCGATCTCCAATAAGTTCCCCTGGAGATCATCTCGACCTGAAGCCAACGTCAAGGCGGCAGAAGGTTGAGATATATTTCCATCACCCATAACACTACCAGATGATAGGGCTCTTGCTTTTTGGACAAAGGGTTGTTTTTATTAAATTGAATTTTTGGACGAAGAGTTTGCTGTTCGTGAACAAAATCAAAGGGAAATTTCCAACTCGTGGAAATTTCAAAGGGAAATTCATTGTTTAGGGGTGAAAGTCTCCAACTTGTGGAAATTTCAAAGAGAAATTCATTGTTTAGGTATGCAAGTTTTCAACTCATGGAAATTTCAAAGGAAAATTCATTGTTGTGCACACTAGTAGAGGAAGAATTTGGAAAAGAAAAAAAACAGGGATGGTCGACTAGTGGCTAGGTCAAGATAGTTTAAAGAAAATAGTGTTGGGAAGAAAGAGTGATAAAAGAAAATAGTATTGAGAAGTCTATGCAAATATATCTTAATCTATAACAAAAGTTCATACAAAAGTATGGAAGTCTATAATAAAAGCCTATACAAGTTTATTTAAAATCCTAGTAAAACCTATAGGAGTTATACAATTCCAGGAAATCTGTCACTTAAAAAAAAAATCTTTCAAAATCGTATACAATCCTAATTGAATACACCCCATACAACTCATACACCCCGATTTATATCTATATATATATATATATATATATATATAGTCAAATCCCTGGTTTAGATAATACATGCTTAACTATAAAGTTAAGGAAAAAAAAAAGCACGCATGAAACATCATATACACTTTTATCTTCTTCTCCCAATGATTCTCCTACGCAAAAGACACCAGTCCACCGTTGGGGTTGGGGTTGACTCTCGCTTTGTCACCATCAACGACGTCCAAGTTTGTGAAATTGCAATTCCATGGGCTGGTGGGGTTTGCATACCCAATTGAAGGAAAAGTCCTCAGGATAAAGAGAACATCACGAAGTCAATTCTGCAATCAACGGATATTTCTCCACCTATCGAGGGAGATTTTAACAAGTCCAAGTCGGGTCTGACATTCTCCCCTTTCTACAAGTCCTTTGTTTATTACTTTCATCAATTTTCTTTATTTTAATTTAAAGTTTTATACTCTCTTGATTTTTAAGTTTTATGTTTGTTTGTTTGTTTATACGCAAATTAATATATGACTTGTTTGTTGGGTTGGGTTGTGGATGTCAGAGCAATTCAACCAGGATTTGACTATATCTGGTAAAATCTCAGCTAGACATTTTAATATTGCATTTGAGTTTAGAGGAGGATGGTAAAAGGATAATGTCAACACAAAAACCATCAGAAAATAAGTTTTTTTTTAATATGTCAAAATGTGATTTTTTTTTCTTTTTCCCATCAATAAACATCCCAAGTTCTACAATTATGATAATGTGTTAGTTGATGTAATCTTGTCTTATAGATTTTGGCAAAAACAAAAGAAATTTTTTTTTATCATATATGTATAACTTAGTCAGACTATTTATCTGAAACATTACCAAACACCTTATAATATTATGGATATATAGTCAGTACTATCCGGAACAAATTATTATTATTCGACATAAATTAGTTAGTACAATTCGATGTACCAAACGAGCCCTGAGGGTGTAAATTTATAAAATTGAAATTCCATGGCCTATATTGAAAATGACTTCATGGGTCTTTTGTAGTTAGCTTTTAAGTATTTAAGTTTGTTATTGAAGTAAGGGCGGGCAACGAGACCAGAAAACTGGAACACCGAGCCACATCAGATGGAAAAAACAAGAAGAAAAAAAATCACATTGACTAAAAAGTCAACAAATCGGCACCGAACTAGACGGGTTCAGGTGTTGGTTTCACAACTTACAAAATCAGATCGGATTGGATCGGATGCGTATTATTTTTAATTTTTTTTAAAATTATTTAAGTCCAATGCTAAATTTCTAATCCCATAACTAATATTTATCCGAGCCCAACCTTAAAGCACCTTTCTTTTCCAGGTCCAACAATCTCTCTTTGCATAAAATTGGATCATTTGTGAATTTTTATGCCCAAAAAATAAACTATTAGTTGGAAGTTGTAAAAATAAATAAAATAATATCCTGTCCAAAATTGAAAAAACTGGAAATTGCCCTGGAACGGGTTTAAATTGGACCGACCGGTTTCATAATTTTTTTTACCAAAACGGGACCAAACTGCACTATTCAAATAGTAGCAGTTTCGGTGTGAGGTGGAAATTGGACCGGACTGAACCAAGCCCACCCCTACTTTGAAGAACTAAATTTTTCTATATTTAAGTTTTAATACTGCAGATGTTAGGTTAGTTGACTAGGGAGTCAGTTTGCGCCTTGCAGCCAAATTCTGGTCTAGATATTTATTCAAAAACCTATTTTAGCATGACATATTATATAAAAACTCATACAGAGCCTATTTGGAGAGAAAAATCCAAACCTAGTCACTTGTTATTTTCTAATTGGTTATTATAAAATTTTAACACATTAAGAACCAATTAGAAAATGACAAGTAGCTAGTTTTGGGTCTTTCACTCCAAATAGGCTCTATAAGAGTTTTTGTATATTATGTTATGGTAAAATGGGTTTATTAGTGAAATCCTCATTTGAATTGATGCGATTTTGAATAGTTGAGTTGAACTTTATAGTTAATTTGGATGTGTTGAATGATAGTTTAATATGAAACTTAATGTTAAAATGTATGATATATATTTTTTTGGCAAAAAAAAATTGGGGATTTAGGGCGGGTATGAGAGATAGTCCTTCTATGGGGACGGGGACGGGAATGGGGATTCCCCAAAACCTATTAAATGAGGATGAGTTTGGGGACGGGGACGAGGGCTGGGATGGACAGCGGGGACGGGAATGGTATTGTCATACCCGGCCTCTACTCGACCCGTTGCCATCCCTAATTAGAGTTATTTTAGACTATCGTTTGAAAAAAAAATTATTTCATTTTTATAATACTAGTTGAAATCAATTATCAGAAAGGTTTGGTTATAGTTAGAAAAATTGATATTTTACCCTTTTAAATCAATAAAGATAATTTTCTTAAATAATAGCATAGAATAGATTATAAAAGAGTCCACTGCGAGACCATTAAGCACAAAAAAACCTCACATATTTTGTTGGGCAAAGTGGTCAAATTGGTTGTATCAAAGTAATTTATGCCCCAATCGATGGGGATGAGAATTGGGCTATTAGCTTGATCCAGCAGCATCTGCAGAGAATTGAGCTGAGCCCAAGTCACGTCGGGGTCCGTGTGCCGCTCATCTCACTAACTTGAAGGACGGGAACAAGAGAGAAAGTTATAATTGTTCAAAATTCAACTCCCAGAAGAAGCAAAAGAGAATGGTGAATCAACATTCTTCATCTTCTTCCTCGCTCGGAATTCCAGTCCTTTTATTTTTGTTATTGTTGTTGTTATCTCCCACAGTTCTTGCCAAGTCTCGTCGCCCAATCTCTGTAATGCCTCTGTTTCTAACTCTCTGTTAATTTCTTTATCTGAGATTTTTGTTTCTTTTTATTAATTCTGAATTTTGATGGGTTTTTTTATGTGGGTATTTGGCAGGATTTTGAGACGAGGCAGAAGAAGAACCAGTGTTATGCAGATATTGAGAGGTACCAACCTCCTCCTCTATTTTTGATTTCCCATTTACTATTTTTTTGTGCTTTTCCTAGTAGTAAGCATATTGGTCAGCTTGCAAATCATAGATATGATAGTGCTCTGATTGCTCTTTTTTTTTTCCTTACACTACGGGAGTAGCGGATTGTGGGGTTGGCAATGTAAGTCTTCTTTGATAGCAAAAGAGAATTGTGCTTTGCGATGCCTTTCTTCAACTTGTTATGAGCTTGTCTACGAGAGTGATCCGGTAAGATGGACTATTTTATACTCTCCTTTGTTGGCTTGGTTCCGTTATACTTATTATTTTATGTGGCATGTGTTCTGGTTGTAGCTTGAAGAAGGAGAGAAAGATCTAGTTAGGGGCCAAGAGTTCAAGTACTGTATGCACAAGTAAGTTCCATGTCTTTAGGGATATTAATTTTTTTTTTTGCTGTACTATTGAGTTGATGCAACATGATAATTAGAATTTTGAAGATAACATAAGGGCCATAGTTGAAAAAATGTAGTTTTTACATTTGATTACTGGATTTTTGAAGGGGTCAATGGTAAAGATTGCTGAGAACATCAAATCACCAATTTTTATTTTTATTTCCTTGGAAAAAAGGACTTTTCTTTTTCTTTTCATTAGGAAAAAAGGTTGAGAACTGCCAACTGGTTCACTAAGAAGGTGAAAAATCAAGGCTCTTTTTCCTGAATGTAAGAATGTAGGCCTGGCTGCTCTTGTATCCTGGATATGAATATAGAAAACTTGAGATGATTGCGATACCTTAGCCAACAGTACAAAATTGATTTGGCTGATTGAAGTGTTTTACATTTTGCAGTTGAGTGTTGGGGCACTTTAGGGACTTACTTCTTTGTTGGGTTTTCATATTTGCTTGTGTTAACCCCCCTGTGGGCTAATTTGTCTAGTATAGACACTGAGGTTGTGTCGCGATGGGTTAAAGGTAGTAATAGTCAAGGGCAGTTGTTGGACCAGTCTAGGACCTCTTAAAAGACACAATTTCTGGTATTATACTGAAATATATCCTCAGAACTGTACTGACTAGCAAATAGTTGGCATTCATAAAGATCCCCTACCTAACGGAGGTTGGCGAGCTGAGTATCGCACTATCATTTGACATCTGGGATAAATTCTTGAACCTTTCTCTTCCTTCTAAAATGTTATTACTATTTTCTCATTTTTAAATTCAGTGTTGGTGGTGCTCATCAAGGCCAGTCTCCCGTGGTTTGTGGCCAGGTTATACCAGCAGCCACCTTTCGTATTTACTAGCACCAAATTTTATTATGAATCGGTTCTTTAATGGGAATTGAGGGATACAATGGTGGAATGGATTTTTGAGTGGATTAGATAGATCCTTTCTTTTGACACAAAAAACAAAAAACAAAAAAGATAGATAGATCTCTTCTACTTTTTCCATGCAGATTGATTTTGTGCTATCCTTATTTCTTTTTTCTGTTTTTTTTCCTCTCATTCCTCAATGCTTGGTTATGCCCAATGTGATAAATTTCTTACTTAAAAATAAAATAAAATAACTGATCTGGACGTTAGACATGTTACAAAGATTATTGTTATTTAGTGTGAGGATGTGAACCTTATTGTCACTTGGTAATAGTAGATAGTGATGTGGATCATGCCTATTTGGTCTACGCTCAATTCATATGATAAATTAGGTCTTTCTGGAAGTGGCTTTGAAAACTTGTTGAGGAATTCTTTGCTTTATGGCAGTGTTGTTAAAGTGTAACAAATTTACCATAGGTTGGGGATTAGATGTGCTGTGTTGGTTGCCATCCTTGCTTCTGTACTTACTAAGATGCTGAAGTTATATTGGCAGAGTATTTTCTCCTACTATTTAGATAATGCTACCCTGCTGCCTTTTGTGGTATATAGAGCCTTGAAGGAAGTTGTGATTTTTCTTTAAGTGAAAGTGTATATATAAGAAGTCAAATCAGATGATTAATCCTGCTCCTATAAAACATGTCTTTTGGAGCTTCTTTTAAAAAAAATACATGTCCTTGGAGCTAGAAGGTCCTTTGAATTATGCAACAAGTCAATTTTTCAGTCTACTTAAATGGATGCATTTAAGTTTATTATAGTTTCAAAAATTACATGCATGTGGGTGTGCTTGGCGATAATGGGATGAGCTGCATGTCCTGAGCATCCAAACTTAGCATAGGAATGTTTTTCCTGCAGATGTTTCAATCCTTACCAGCGCATTGCTTTGTCTCTGCCCATTTCTTTTAATTTTGTGCTTAGTTTGCCCGGCTGGTCGAGTAATTTTGTGTTGGTTTTTTCCTTACACTATGGGAATAGCGGATTGTGGGGTTGGCAATGTAAGTCTTCTTTGATAGCAAAAGAGAATTGTGCTTTGCGATGCCTTTCTTCAACTTGTTATGAGCTTGTCTACGAGAGTGATCCGGTAAGATGGACTATTTTATACTCTCCTTTGTTGGCTTGGTTCCGTTATACTTATTATTTTATGTGGCATGTGTTCTGGTTGTAGCTTGAAGAAGGAGGGAAAGATCTAGTTAGGGGCCAAGAGTTCAAGTACTGTATGCACAAGTAAGTTCCATGTCTTTAGGGATATTAATTTTTTTTTTTGCTGTACTATTGAGTTGATGCAACATGGTAATTAGAATTTTGAAGATAACATAAGGGCCATAGTTGAAAAAATGTAGTTTTTACATTTGATTACTGGATTTTTGAAGGGGTCAATGGTAAAGATTGCTGAGAACATCAAATCACCAATTTTTATTTTTATTTCCTTGGAAAAAAGGACTTTTCTTTTTCTTTTCATTAGGAAAAGAGGTTGAGAACTGCCAACTGGTTCACTAAGAAGGTGAAAAATCAAGGCTCTTTTTCCTGAATGTAAGAATGTAGGCTTGGCTGCTCTTGTATCCTGTATATGAATATAGAAAACTTGAGATGATTGCGATACCTTAGCCAACAGTACAAAATTGATTTGGCTGATTGAAGTGTTTTACATTTTGCAGTTGAGTGTTGGGGCACTTTAGGGACTTAATTCTTTGTTGGGTTTTCATATTTGTTTGTGTTAACCCCCCTGTGGGCTAATTTGTCTAGTATAGACACTGAGGTTGTGTCGCGATGGGTTAAAGGTAGTAATAGTCAAGGGCAGTTGTTGGACCAGTCTAGGACCTCTTAAAAGACACAATTTCTGGTATTATACTGAAATATATCCTCAGAACTGTACTGACTAGCAAATAGTTGGCATTCATAAAGATCCCCTACCTAACGGAGGTTGGCGAGCTGAGTATCGCACTATCATTTGACATCTGGGATAAATTCTTGAACCTTTCCCTTCCTTCTAAAATGTTATTACTATTTTCTCATTTTTAAATTCAGTGTTGGTGGTGCTCATCAAGGCCAGTCTCCCGTGGTTTGTGGCCCTTCAGGTTATACCAGCAGCCACCTTTCATATTTACTAGCACCAAATTTTATTATGAATCGGATCAAACCTGGCAAATGAGGAACATAATTTTTTTAGGGAGAAGACCGTTCTTTAATGGGAATTGAGGGATACGATGGTGGAATGGATTTTTGAGTGGATTAGATAGATCCTTTCTTTTGACACAAAAAAAAACAAAAAACAAAAAAGATAGATAGATCTCTTCTACTTTTTCCATGCAGATTGATTTTGTGCTATCCTTATTTCTTTTTTCTGTTTTTTTTCCTCTCATTCCTCAATGCTTGGTTATGCCCAATGTGATAAATTTCTTACTTAAAAATAAAAATAAAATAACTGATCTGGATGTTAGACATGTTACAAAGATTATTGTTATTTAGTGTGAGGATGTGAACCTTATTGTCACTTGGTAATAGTAGATAGTGATGTGGATCATGCCTATTTGGTCTACGCTCAATTCATATGATAAATTAGGTCTTTCTGGAAGTGGCTTTGAAAACTTGTTGAGGAATTCTTTGCTTTATGGCAGTGTTGTTAAAGTGTAACAAATTTACCATAGGTTGGGGATTAGATGTGCTGTGTTGGTTGCCATCCTTGCTTCTGTACTTACTAAGATGCTGAAGTTATATTGGCAGAGTATTTTCTCCTACTATTTAGATAATGCTACCCTGCTGCCTTTTGTGGTATATAGAGCCTTGAAGGAAGTTGTGATTTTTCTTTAAGTGAAAGTGTATATATAAGAAGTCAAATCAGATGATTAATCCTGCTCCTATAAAACATGTCTTTTGGAGCTTCTTTTAAAAAAAATACATGTCCTTGGAGCTAGAAGGTCCTTTGAATTATGCAACAAGTCAATTTTTCAGTCTACTTAAATGGATGCATTTAAGTTTATTATAGTTTCAAAAATTACATGCATGTGGGTGTGCTTGGCGATAATGGGATGAGCTGCATGTCCTGAGCATCCAAACTTAGCATAGGAATGTTTTTCCTGCAGATGTTTCAATCCTTACCAGCGCATTGCTTTGTCTCTGCCCATTTCTTTTAATTTTGTGCTTAGTTTGCCAGGCTGGTCGAGTAATTTTGTGTTGGTTTTTTGAGATTACTTGTATTGGTGTTGTAAAAGTTGTTGGTGTCTCCTATAAGAAGAAAAAAACAGGATTGATAAAAGTCATGTGCTAGCATATTATCCTGATAGAGATGAAAGAGAATGTGTTGCTACTATTTCAATATTAATATGGAGGTTTAGAGTTTTACTTCAACTGTTGGTTTCTTCAACTCTATTTTAAAAGGTGTGCTGTGTTTCTTCCTATATTTTGTTTGTGGGTGAAAGAATTAGCAGAAGATTGAAATTGTATCAATCTTACATTTCATTACTTTAGTCTCGTTAACGCATAACGAGCCAACAGTTAAGTCATCAGGGTAAGTCATTAGGATTAAGATAGATCAAGAGGTCAATGTCATCCCATCCTTAATTAGTGCAGCCAAGCCCCCCAGCATCTTCTACCAATAATAGGGTTGGATAAAATCAAGCTGCATGAAAAAGTATATATAACAATAAACAGCGAAGAAGAAAAAATATATAATTAAAGTAAAACTTTCCCTTTCCTATTATGAGAATGTTACAGGGGCCGTCAGCGACTTTCCTTTTCCTATATCTCTCTTGGATATAAAATCACCCTAAAGTCTCTCAACCTTTGCAACTCAAATCTCTCAACCAAAGCCAAAGAAGAAACTCTCTCCCAAGTTTTCAACTCAAAGTCTTAGTTAATATTACAAAGACCAAAACAATGGCCTCCGTTGAGATGAAGAAGATAACACTGAAGAGCGACGACGGTGAGATCTTTGAGGTGGAGGAGGCTGTGGCCATGCAGTCACAGACCATCAGGCACATGGTGGAGGACGACTGCGCCGATGGCCCAATACCTCTGCCGAACGTGACCAGCAACATCTTAGCGAAGGTGATCGAGTACTGCAAGAAGAAACATGAAGAGGATGCCGATGGCGAGAAGAACAAAGAGGACATTAAGAACTGGGATGCTGCGTTCGTGAAGGTGGACCAGAGTACTTTGTTTGACTTAATCTTGGCTGCAAACTATCTCAATATTAAGAGCCTGCTGGATTTGACCTGCCAGACTGTGGCGGACATGATCAAGGGAAAGACACCTGAAGAGATCCGTGAGATCTTCAACATCAAGAATGACTTCACGCCTGAGGAAGAACAAGAGATTCGTAATGAGAACGGATGGGCATTCGAGTGAGAGAGTTAAAGATCCCCTAGATACCTGTTATTATTACATAATTTGACTTTTTGTCTAATATTTTTCTTCTAGTTATAATTCAATTGTTTTTTTTTTAATAAATTTTTTTGTTAGGTGATTGCTCAGATGTAACCAAGATTTCTGCAAAACCTTGTTTGTCAAATATTTCTAATGATAGAGTTATGTCTCTTTTCTTTCTTTGGTTTTGGAATTCTTTTCTTTCTTTGGTTCTGGAATTTGGATTCTTCGAATTGGTGGCTGGTTTTGGTTCTGTCTAAGTTTAGTATGCAACTGAAGAAGACGTACGTAAAAGATTAATGCAGGAACAAAGTTAATGACGATCTTAATTAACCAATTATGTTACGTAAAATAATGAACAGAATTAACCAATTATGTTAAGAACTTAATGACTTTTCTAATTGGTTCTTCCCAAGTTTGCAAATTGGCCAAGTTACTCTATGGATTGCAATAGAGTTTAACTCAAAATAAGAAATTGAGATTTGTTTTGTTTTTAAAGCTGGAAATTTACCTCTCCATAATGAAATTTTTGGATGGCGAATGAATTCAATATTACACAAATAATAATTCAGGAGCTCAAGACAAACCAATCATTGTTTTAGTCATTCACAACACTTGAATTAAATAGTTAGAGACTCCCTATAATTCAACTGATTTTTGGGTTTTTATTTTTGTTTTTGCTTAGGTGATTGCTAGTGCCAGCCTCGAGGGTGGGCAAGGAGGGCGATGGGCATGGGCCTCGCATTTATAGGGCCTTAAATTATATATTTTATAAATGTACCAAGTTGAAGAATATGATTTTAGAGGAGAATAATTTCAATAGTTTGGCATTTAGAGGCCCCAAATATGATTACAAATGTTTCTGAAGAGTCCAAATGAAAATTATGTAATATGTGAACATCAATTGAAAGTATTTAAGTATTTAATTGCTAAAAGTAGCAATCAATGAAAGAAAGCCAATAGGGACTAGAAATTCTTTTATTTATCCAAAAATTCTTGTCAATAGATTATTTAGCGAGGAAATATGAAAGAGTGCAAATTATTTGCATCCTTATTCTTGTTTATTTTCAGATTGGGGAAGCGATTATATGGGCAATATTGGAGCTGTGTCTATTTATCCAAATTGTATTTAATTGAATTTTTTTTTCCATGTTAGTTCATTATATTCAGGAGAATGAAAGAGAAATAGACCTCATTTTCATTTCTAGCCTAGGGCCACCCAAAAGTCATGGCTGACCCTGAATTGAGTGAGAATTCATAATATTAGACTCCTCATTATGCTAGTACATGACTGAATTTCTTATGCTAGGTGAACGTGTCGACTAAAGTCCAAGCATATTAATTTAAGTTTAATTACTTACGAGAATTCCTCAAACAAGTTTTCAAAGCCAAAGACCTAATTTTATAATCTGAATCGAGTATAGACCAAATCATTGTGTGGAAAAATCATTTTGAGTATAAACATTGATCACAACAGAACCTCAACTGTAAAATCACAAGCAAATCTGATTCAGGGACACTTCGCTCGGTGTAAAAACCAGGCTGCATTGGTGGAGGCAAGGTAACATCACTGCTCAACATTAGAACCACATATGACATGCTTGGTCTATCTTCAGGTACTCTTTGTACACATAACAGCGCCACATGAAGACACCTTAAAACTTCAGATATGGTGCATGAATCACGTAATGTCTTATCAATCAGTTCCAATGCTTTATCTTCAATCCATAGTATCCATGCCTTCAAAATTAAAACATATACAACATGTTATTATGGTGACATGTCATTGAATTGAAGGAGATGATTAGAAGATTGCATCGCCTAATTCACTAGTTTCTTTAAAGTAAAATGATAGTACTTTAATGCTTTATACTAACATATCCAAGAAGGTTAAGGTGGTGATCTGGATGAGAAAATCCCCTATTCTTCTTCCTACTCAACATCTCCAGCAGTATAACTCCAAAGCTAAAGACATCAGATTTCATTGAGAAAATTCCATCTACTGCATATTCGGGAGATATGTAACCACTGCACAATCAAATTGCTATGAGTGTAAGAATTTCGACAAAAACAATACAATGTAAATTGTAAACCATACAACAAGTATACTTACAATGTTCCAACTACTCTATTTGTATTACCCCGACTTTGATCACTTCCAAATGTTTTAGCGAGGCCAAAGTCTGAAATCTTAGGGTTCATACTATTATCAAGCAGGATATTGCTAGCTTTCAAATCTCTATGGATAATCCTTAATCTAGAGTCTTGGTGAAGATAAAGAAGCCCTCTAGCAATTCCACCAATGATGTGAAAGCACGTAGGCCAGTCGAGCAATCTTTGTCCTTCTTGATCTGAAGAAAACTTGAGACTGTTAACTCAATGCAACATTGAATCCTTGTATATATAAGATTAAAGGTGAAGCATAGTATGACTTAAAAGCCATATGGTTGGCATCAGAGAGCACCATACTAAAAATAAAGAAGTCGAAGCTTTTGTTGGGCATGAATTCATATATCAAGATTTTTTCCTCTTCTTGAACGCAACAACCCAAGAGCTTTACAAGATTGCGATGTTGAAGTCTTGCTATCAGTTTAACTTCATTTTTGAACTCTATCATTCCTTGCCCGGAATTCTTCGAAAGCCTTTTTACTGCAATTTCTTTCCCTCCAATCAATGTACCCTACGGATCATCATTTATAAAGTCTTAAAACTTGTATCACAGATTAGCTCATTTTAGTTGCATAAATTTATGTTACCTTGTACACAGGTCCAAAACCACCTTCGCCCAGCTTGTTGCTGCTTGAAAAGTCATTGGTGGCTTTAGCTACGGTGCTCAAATCAAATTGTGGTGGTAACTCCATGTCTTCCCTGTCTTCTCCAAGGTAATCTTTTGTGCAATCTATGCTTCTAACTCCTGAAATGACAAGGAGATCTCCTCAGCATGGATAAATAGATGTGTAAGAATTATATTGGTTAATCAATTGGTCAAATCACCATATGCCATGTGTCACCATTTAATTGGTTCAATGCTTTACCCTAAACCAAATCTTGGAACACAAGAAAATCATGTAAGTTTTTCCATATATTTGTGAGTTTGCCTTTTCATTATTATGAGGTGTCATATAAATAATAAATAGAGTTATATTTAAATTAAGATATTATGAGACTTTTATTCAGATAATGATTAAATGGAATAACTGTTACAGGAGGTGGATATCATCCATTATCTCCACGTTTTGGCTACCAGTTGTCTCTTAATAGGAGAGTCAGTTGTAAAGCAACTTGTATAAAAGGCTTGGTCTCTGCTCTCATATTTACACGTTCATATTCTGTATGCTTGCCCTATTGAAAGCTTTGACATTTTGGAATACTGAGAGGAGAAGATCATCTTGTATATCTGATTATGACTAATTCAAGTAAGTCTTATCTCTACTTGTTCTATTGTTTAATTATCAAATTTGTGTTAAGGTGTGGTTTAAGTGCTAAATTGGTTCAAGATTATTTTGAATACAGTAGAACTTGCATGTGGTATCAGAGCTATCAATTCAGCCTTGAACTCATCTTTTTTGGTTAACGTTTATCGACATTGTGTCATTTATGATTATCTTTGTTTTTTTTTTGTCTTTTTCCGCTGCGTTAATGATTATACTTGTAATTTTTATATCATTATATTTCGATGCACTTGTGATGTTACTTGCTGATTATTCAATTTGATCAATAAACATTAAAAATCAAATTCAGTCTCAATTGATTTGTCTAATGGTTTTTTGATGAATTTTGTTGATTTAATTAAATTAACAAGATTATATACTGGGATGATTTTGGGATTGGATGGGTAAACTGCCAAAGTGGTTTATCTGATCCTTTGCTATTTAAAATCAATTTTGATGCTCAGTTTGTAGTTTATAAACATTAACAGGTAGATTTTCTTCCAAAGAAGTTGTCTACTGGGTTTGGCTATAAACTAATGTCTAGTGAGTCATGAAAAACTTGGTTAGTATTATGTAATCTCACCCAAAGGTGTTGAATTTGTACTAATTCTTGTGCTTTATGCTTGGCTATGCAAATTTTTGTTTTGATAGTTCATTACATTTATAGAGTGATTTCTTGCCTAAAGGTGTGATCATTTTCTATAACTTAAGTTTGACTAAAGCATTTAGATATCAGTTTTAGTCACAATTGTTGTGAACTTCGAAGCTTATGTTCTGTTCCTATAATTAATGGCAGGTTTCAATATGTTAAACCTTATTAACATTGAGAAACTGAATGGGACCAACTTCAAGACATGGAAGCAACAAATTGATATGAATTTGGGATTACTTGAGTTCACCATAGCTTTTAAGGAGCCTAAGCCAGCAGCTTTGACTAATATCAGTAGTCAAGAAGAAAAGGATGCTTTTAAGAAATGGGAGAGAGCAAATGATATGTCTTTGCTTATAATGCAAAATTCAATGGAAGAGCACATCAGAGGAGGCATCCCAGGCTGTGATCTTGCTAAGGATTATATGGAAGCTGTGGAGGAAAAGTTTAAGAGGTCTGACAAGGCTGAATCAAGTTCTTATCTTACTACACTCACTTCAACCAAGTTTGATGGAACTGGGAGCATGAGAGAGCATCTCCTCAAACTTGTTAATGTGGCAAACAAGCTCAACAATCTGGATAAATAGATGTGTAAGAATTATATTGGTTAATCAATTGGTCAAATCACCATATGCCATGTGTCCCAATTTAATTGATTAAACGCGAAACCCTAAGCCAAATCTTGGAACACAAGAAAATCACACACTATCGAAACAATCTAATGCAAATTTCATAGAAGAGATACTTTGGTTTAATTTTTTTGCCTGAATTTTACAATCATGTATTTGAAAGAATCCAGGTCCGCGTTTGAGATATTTACCTTGATTTCTGAGTTTCTTGTTCCGTATATGCAATATCAATCCAATTAGTACCGTTACCACAAGAAAAACTGCAGAGCTGATGAGAATTCCAGGTAGCTTTTTCTTGTTGAACTTGCTCTTTTCCTCAATATGATCTGAAAGATCACAATTAAAATAAAACTTTCATGCAATTCAGTAAGCAATCTCGCATTTCGCAGTAACTGTGAATATAACACCAACTTATTTTAGCCATACTTTGCTTAACTACAGACGAAGCAGCAAGGCCAACTGAGGAAATAACCACCATTTGTGGACCTAGCTCTAGGTAAAGCTCAATACTTTTAACCATGCTGGTTCTAACTCCTGCCCCCATAAAAACCCCATCCAAAAGAAAAACATAAAAAGTTGACAAAAACTCATTTTCCCTTAACGTATAAATATATTGTGACATTGTTATCCAGTATTGGCTAGAAAAACAAAAACAAGATCAAATAAAATTCTAAGAGCTACCAAGTTCTGAAGCTGCCATCCGTACATAGAGGTTTTGACCACCACCGGAAGTGAATTGTGCCATGTCAGTGAGGTTACCAAACCAAAGCAAACAGCCAGTTCCTCCCTCCCTGATATCTAAATTTGCATATGCCGTACATGAGCAGTTGTTCAAACATAATTCATTGCATTCCTTGAGGCTCATGCTTTTGTCATACCATGAGGAAGATGTGTCTGGCAATTTAACCCCAGTGTAATTGAGGAAGCCATCTCCAGAGCTGCAAGCCAATGTGATCCCGAATTCCAATCTTTTGGAGATTTTGGTACAAATCCCTTCAAGCATGCACATATGGGAGAGACATTGACATATGCAAGTCAGTTTCAGTTTCACCTCCCTGGGACATCTTAGTAAGGCCGCATGTCTCCTCAGTGGCCCTATTCTTTGAGTCCTATAATTAAACTCCACATTTTCCATTGACGTTTACATTTACATTTCTCTCTTGCTATTTATGATGACAAAGTCATACTTGTTTTTACCTTTTTGTAAATAATTCCATTGCTAAAATCTGAACTCAAATTGGCTAATTTTCATTTATAATTTTGAGAACTTGCAAGTATCTGGCTCTGGAACCTTCCATTCTTGTTGTTAAAAATATTTTGGCTTGTTCTAGTGTTCCTTGTGTGTTTCTACTTCAAATCTCAAATTGTTGTGAGAATTAATCTACACGGCATCATAAAATGATTTTTGAGATTTGTGAGAGTAGTGAATTTCTGTCTTTTATATAGAGTGGAGTTTGGACATGATTTTGCATTTCTGATGCTATTGGGATGCAAGTAAGCCTATATCATCCTTCCTTTTTGTGTTTTGCAAATGTTGAGATAATGCTACCCTGCTATCTTTTGTGTTATATAGAGCCTTGAGGGTGTCAAGGGTTCATTTAATTATTAAATATCTGAGCTAAAAATGTTGCTAAAGTAAGTTCGTATGAAGCCATCCATTTCTCCACCTCTGGAAAAAGAAGAAAAAAACAGGAATGATTTGCAGGTGATTCAATTGTTTTTTCTTCTAGTTATAATTCAATTGTTTTTTTTTAAATAAATTTTTTTGTTAGGTGATTGCTCAGATGTAACCAAGATTTCTACAAAACCCTGTTTGTCAAATATTTCTAATAGAGTTATGTCTCTTGTTTTGTGTGTTACGAAACTTCTTTGTTGTCAACAAATTCTTAATAAATTACATCTCTTGGAAATTAATCATAGAATAACTAAACTGAACCCACACAAAATCATTTGCATTCATAAAAGGGCCATTCTATTAATTTTGCATTCAACATTTTAGTTTATTATATGCATTGGGAATTGAATTCGCGA